GGGGAATTCTGGGAGTTGAAGTCCACGCATCTTAAAGTGGCTGAAGTTGAAAAACACTAATCTAGAGAAAGGGAACGAGTATCTGACAATTAAGAATCATGATGAGATTCTTGGCTGATGTTTAATGCAGTATTCTTAGCCATGCTGAGCTTGACTAAACCATGAACCCTGACTTACTTAATGTGACTCCTATTTTCTGAGTTTCCCCAGGACATTGACTGTTAAATCAACTGTATAGGCTTGGGGCCGGTTGTTCAACCTAGGTTGAACTAAAATGAGGTTGGCTAATCTGTGTTTTAGTCTGTTATGTGGTTTAACAGGCTAACTTCTGCTTCTCAGGCTGTCTGGGCGAGAAGTTTGAGGAGGAGCACAATTTTCCCAGAGTTTTCATCCCGGAAGATGGTTTATTTTTTCACTTTTTAAAAACAGTCCTTTCCACATGTTTAAAGCAGTGAATTTGCTGTGAGAGGCCTTTGCTGAGAAAGTGGTGAAGTTTGGATCCCCAATACTTACAGTTGCCTTTGACTTGCTTCTCTACATCCTTGGAACCATGGCTCTGAGTCTTGACATTGTGCTAAATTGGTTTTTTGGCTGTGCATGTTCTCTGCACTCCAGACCTTTGTGGTTTTTTTCTAAACATGGTTTACAGTGTAGAGTACACAACCCAGTTAATTGTGGCTTAAAGTGTGGCATAATTTCAGCTTGAACGAATACCGGTGGGAATATATATAAGAATGGGAAACTTCCATAGCATGAAAAGGAATAAAAGTCCCCTGCTGCCGAGTCTCCTCTCCATTGCTAAGAAAACACTCCCATTAGGCCCTACTGAAGTGAGTTTCTGGATTTATGGCATTGTGTGAGCCCAGTCATTGAGGTTTATTTGATAAGCCATAATTAAAAGAAATCATGGCTTAACACTGTGTGATTCACCAGTGTGATGGAATGGAATTATGAAGGCCAGACTCAGGGAGAGAAGCGTCCTCTTTCGTCTCCGGAAGGGAGGGGAAGAGATAAGAGGATGAGGCTGCACCTCCCTGAGGAATTCACTCTGTTTTCACTTGCTACTGTGGGAACAGAGTTTAAGTTTGGGAAGATTCTTGATAGAAGTTGTAGCTAATAAACATTGCTGAACTGAATCTGCATGGTCTCCTGGAGTTCCTTGGGCTAGGCCTGACAACCAGACCACAGCCGGTGTGAATGTTCCAAGAGAGGTTAGGAATGCTCTGTTTGTTCTCAAGATCTTTGTTGCGCAGTAAAGGGTGTTGTTAATCATAGTCTACAACTATTCATGAAATATTTGCATTTCAGGCAGGAAGAAAGAACAAAAAATACTGTCGTAGTACAAGGTATGAAAAATGTTGCAAGCAAGTATTTGTAGGGTTGGGTTTTATTGATTTATTGGCATGATCACAATGACTTGGCATTATTGCAGTGACTGATAGTATTAAAAACAAAATCCTAATAGTGTTAGAATCATAATAATAGTTTTTGCTCTTATTGAAGCAAAATGCTTTTTTAAAAAAAACCACAACTAGGTAGCATTGCTTCTAAAGGAAACTTAAAAGTTCATTAAGCAAATATTCCCACTGCTTTCCATTTCATACATTTGTATCACATTCCCTGGTTTGTCCACCTCACTCATATGGATTTGATGAATTAGCCTTGTTTAAAAAACTTCCTCTCTACCTTCCCCCCCCCGCCCAAAAAAGGTCTGACATCATTTAAGGCTGCCATCTCTGTGCTCCAAAACTCCAGACAACTGCAAAACATTAAAAGTTTTCTCTATATCTTTGTGGCCTTCTGGTGGTTATTCAAATTATGGCAACCACCAGAGTTATTGCAGATTAAACTTTACTGAACTAACTTGAGCATTATTTTAAATTGGCAGATGTGCACAATCTGGGTTGGAACAACTCGCTTAGACCAAACATCCAGTTAAGAACTATGTGTATGCTGCCATGTGACCACCTCAATGCACATGCCTGTTTTATCAAAACCTTAACGTTGTTTTATGTATTTGTTTATAAAATTTGCATACCAGTTCAATCTAACCAGACTCTAAACTGGATGTAGACTAAGCCCACGTTGAGTTTTCAGAAATCCCTAATTTTATCATGGATCATAAATCTCGGCTTGACACAGTGAGAAGCCTTTGGTTAAAGACCTACATGTGTAGAAGCTAAGAAACCTGGGTTTTTTGGAGGGAGAATCACCCAAGCAATCAACTGCTAAAGGCATAGGAGCAGGGGCAGTTTAAAAAGTGGGACATTTTGACCCTTCTTTCTGCTTTCCCCCCGCTGTTTGGAAAAGCTCTGAAGAGATGCCCTGCCTGCTCCAGGAAATGTCATGCAGCCTTAAACAAAGCCAGATTTCAGGGGATTCTCACTGTTTCTCTGTAAAGTTGTTTAGGTTTATATTATACCTAGGAGAAACCTGGAGATTCAATTTTCACCGGAGAGAGAGGAGGTCGGAAATACATCTCTTCTTGTGGATTTCTATCGACTCCATTGTTCCCTAATGTAATCAAATATGTCTGCCCACAAAGCCAATTCAGATCCTTGAAAAGCAATATATTTGGATTGGGGCATTACTCCTTTGAAACCTATTCCTGCTCAGCTGTCCCAAGGATTAATATGTTTTACCCTTTTCTCTTTTGATGTCCAGCATGTTCTCATATTCTAAAATATTAATGAGAAAAGAGGAAAAAAACCCAGTGCTGTGTTTTTGCCTTTTGGAGAAAGAAATATACAATATAAAACCAAGGGCCTTATGGGAATATAATGTTCATTCAAGTATTTCCCCTCTAATTCTCTCCTTGAATCTTACTGTTTCCTGTCCGCTGAAATCAGTTGCCCAGTAATCAGGAGTTTGGGTGGAAACCTGAAACACTGAAGTAACTCTTGGCATTATGTTTTAACAGATTAGTTTTGCTGCCTCAAAGGAGAAATACAAATCCACCTGATCATTTAAAATATTAAACCAGTGTTTCCCAACTTACGCAACTTTAAGACGTGTGGACTTCAACTCCCAG